TTTCAACGTCTTTTCTCTTTTTTTTAATTTTGAAATAGTTATGTTATATATAACGTTTTTAATCCTTTTTTTTTAGTTTTTTATCTCCAAAGAAACTTTGCTATTTTTATAATTTCAATTTTTTTGAATCAAGAAAGAAAAAAGAATTTTAAATATGAAGAGTGAAGTAAGTTTTCTCATAATGTAAAGTGATAAGAGAGTATTAATTTCAGTTTATGGTAGTAGATGAAATTATTCCATGAAATATTCTATAAATTAAATTTAATTTATTACAACGAGAGTATTCAAGAAATATTGAAATTTCTTTGATTTTCTATTAAAAAAAAAGAAAAAGACATGAAGTAAGAATAGAATGAGTTAATAATAAGAAAGAATAGAAAATAAACAATGAAAATATAGGAAATAAATCAATTTAAAAAAAAAACACAGAAAAATCAAAAGAATTGGAAAAGTTAAATTCATACGCAATATTCGGTATTTAAACTGTAAAGTGATTTTAAAAAATCATTTTATGTTTGCTTTAATCTTATTTGTTTCTCTTGCTTGTGCAAATGAAGCCGCATTCAAACAATGGGCTGCTGCTCATAACAAAGTATTTGCTAATAGAGCTGAATATCTTTACAGATTTGCTGTTTTCTTAGATAACAAAAAATTTGTTGAAGCTAATGCCAACACTGAACTTAATGTTTTTGCTGATATGACTCACGAAGAATTTATTCAAACTCATCTTGGAATGACTTATGAAATTCCAGAAACTACTCCTAGTGTTAAAGCTGCTATTAAAGCTGCCCCAGAATCAGTTGATTGGAGAAGTATTATGAACCCAGCTAAAGATCAAGGACAATGTGGCTCATGTTGGACTTTCTGTACAACTGCAGTTCTTGAAGGAAGAGTTAACAAAGATCTTGGAAAACTTTATTCATTCTCTGAACAACAATTAGTTGATTGTGATAGTTCTGATAATGGATGTGAAGGAGGACATCCATCTAACTCACTTAAATTCATTCAAGAAAATAATGGATTAGGATTAGAAACCGATTATCCATACAAAGCTGTTGCTGGTACTTGTAAGAAAGTTAAAAATGTTGCTACTGTTACTGGTTCTAAAAGAGTTACTGATGGAAGTGAAACTGGACTTCAAACTATTATTGCTGAAAACGGACCTGTTGCTGTCGGTATGGACGCTAGCAGACCATCATTCCAATTATATAAGAAAGGAACTATTTACTCTGATGCTAAATGCAGATCAAGAATGATGAACCACTGTGTTACTGCTGTTGGTTATGGTTCAAATAGTAATGGTAAATATTGGATTATTAGAAACTCATGGGGAACAGCATGGGGAGATGCTGGATACTTCCTTCTTGCTAGAGACTCTAACAACATGTGTGGTATTGGAAGAGATTCTAACTATCCAACTGGAGTCAAGTTACTTTAAACTCTAATTCATTTCTTTTGATTTTTTTCTATTTTTTATTTTTTCATAAAAATGTTAATTACAAAAATTGATTGATAAAAATATAAATAATGTAAATTTATTTTTTCTATTATTTCCAGAATAAAAATATTTAATAATGTGATGTTTGAATTTTCAGTTAACACAGAAATTTATTCTTCTTTCTTTATATCTTAAAATTATTTTAAGATCTAGACTTCAAAGGGGATTATAAAAATACAATTACAAAAATCTTTTAAATATCAAAATGTCATTAACTCAAGATCATAACAACACAACAATCACAATCGCAAAAGGAGAAAATAAAGAAATTATTCTTCCTGGAAATCCAACAACTGGATATTCATGGGTAGTTGATAATTGTGAAGGTCTTACTAATACCATTGATTATGTTGCTGATCAACATGCTCCAGGTATTTGTGGATGTGGTGGAAAATATCATATTAAAATTACTGGTACCACAGTTGGTGAAGGAAGAATTGTTTTAGTATACCGAAGACCATGGGCACCAAATGCTAATGATCGTACTTTTACTTTAAAAGTTAATGTCCAGTAATTTATTTCTTTTTACAAAGATTTTTATTTGTTTGTCTTATGAGGATTTCACTTTTTAAGAAGATTATTTGAGTGGATATCATTTGAGATAAAAAGAAAATAAAGTTTAAGGAAGTATTTGAGAAGATAAAGTTTTAAATGAATGAAATGTAATTGTTGCTGGAAGGATATTGATCCAAGCGAATATTATGTTGTGAACAAATGTAAACACATTTTTTGTTCTTACTGTGCCCAGAAGGCATGGTTAAATGGAAATTATAAATGTCCATTGTGTCAAATTACTCTAACTGAGGAGTTTGTTATAGAAAAAGATTATAAGTAAAAAAAAATGACATCGTAGCGATATTTCCAGAAATGACTCAACAGATTTTGAGTCAATAGCCCAACAACTATATGGTATATCTCCAAAAAATTGTTTGTTTATTTACAACATCTTATTTTTTATTAAAAATTAAAAGTATAACGTGTAGTAAATGAAGTTATCTGTTTGATTTCTAATTTTAACCAGAAACAACAACTCCTCTATGAATCAAAGTTACAGCATGATAACCATGTTAATGAAAAGAAGTTAAACGGTAAATACCAACAAGTTATCTCTAAGGCATTTGATTACAGGAAACAACGAGATCAAATAAAAAATGAGTTAGAAAAATATAAAAAAGAAAATGAAAAATTAGAATTGGAGAATCAACAATTTAAAGCACTAATACAAGAGTATGAACAAAATAGTAAACAAACAAAAGACATAATTCTGAGAATGCAACAAGAACAAAGTGAAAAAAATTCAATAATTTCAAGTAAACTATTTTCCCCACAAACAAATCAAATGAAACAATTGTTTAAGCAAAATACCTTTGAGGTTAATCCCAATACAGCGTTACAAAAGAAATTAAACATGAAAATGAATGACAGTTTGTTTTTTTTAGTACTATTCCAAAAATTCCAAAGTTAAAAAGATTCATTTGAATTTAGAATTTGCTCAATTGAAAAAAATACGTGAAGAGAATAAAAAAGAAATTAACTTAAAACCTACTTCTAAGAAAAATACCTTTTCTCTTGAAAAGAAACGAATTCCAATTCTCCAATCCCCAGTAGTAAATAGACCAATGTTTACTTCTCCATTAAAAAGTGTTGTAATTCCATTTACACCAATTTAGTTGTGTTAAAATCAGATTTATAACAAGTTTTATAATTTTTTATTTGTTAATAGAAATTTACAAATATACGTTAAAGAATAAAACAAACAAATATCACTGAAAGTTGAAGAAAAAATTTTTATTTCAATAAAGATAATGCCATAAAAATAGCACTAAATGACAAAAGAAAAAAAGAACTAATTTGTTTATTATATTAAGGAATGAAACAAAACAGTTGTTTTTGCTCATTCATTCCAAATAAAATTTGTGTTAATGATATCATTGGTAGAGGTTCAATGCATCTTACTAAAGAAGTTACTTCAAGAATTGTTAATACTATGAAGAGGTGTAATTCAAATATTCAAATAGAATCATTTTTACAACCAATTTTAACTAAACCAGAAACACCAACTTCCAATGGAGGTCTTGATAATGAAAACCAAGAGTTAATAATTAGAAAAGGAGATATTATTGGGAGTTATAATTCAATTGAAGGACGTCGATATTCTATGAGAAGATCAATAGTTACTCAGTACAAAATTATTGAAAAATTAGGACAAGGTACTTTTGGTCAAGTGTTTAAGTGTCAAGATCTTAACAATGGAAAAATGGTTGCACTAAAAATTCTTAAAAATAAAAAAGCATATTTTAGACAAGGTTTATTAGAATTAACTACTCTTACAATTATTAATACAATATATGATAAAGGATGTTCACATATTGTTGAAATGATTGATCATTTTCTTTACTGTGGTCATTTATGTATTGTTCAAGAATTATTGGGGTTTGTTGTTTATTTTAAAAGGATTTAAGAAGGATAAAAATTCATTTAAGATAGTCAAAATTTATATCAAATGTTAAAAGAAGTTCGTTTGAGAGGAATGAAATTATCAAATATTAAAAAGATAACACGACAAATTCTTGAAGGTGTTTCATCATTAAATGAAGCAGGTATAGTTCATTGTGATTTAAAACCTGAAAATGTATTAATTAATAATAAAGATATTAAAATTATTGATTTAGGATCTTCATGTTTTTCTAATTATACATTATATTCTTATATTCAATCAAGACATTATAGAGCTCCAGAAATTGCATTAGGAATGAAATACTCAACTTCAATTGATATGTGGAGTGTTGGGTGTATTGTAGCTGAAATGTTTTTAGGTATTCCATTATTTCCAGCAAATAGTGAATATGATTTATTATATCGATTTGTACAAACACTAGGAATGTTACCTTTTTCTTTACTTTCTACTGGAAATAAATCAAAATGTTATTTCAAAAAATCAACAAGTTCACTTGGAGTAATACAATATAGATTAAAAGAACAATTTGAATATGAATGGGAAAATAATTGTGGTCTTCCTCCTCATAAAGAATATCTTCCTGTAAAACTTTTAAAAGATATTATTTTTAAATGTCAATTACGTGTTGAAAGTCCTTTAACTCTAAAAACAAAACAAACTCTATTTGATTTTTTAAGTGGATGTTTTCAATATGACCCTAAACTAAGATTTACACCAAAACAAGCTTTGGCTCATCCTTTTATCACAAATGGTTCTTTAAAAGATTTTGTATTACCACCGAGAGAATTTCCTTATAAAGTTTATGGTCATGTTGTTACGGCTGAACCTAGTCAAATGATTGCTGATACCTATAAAGATACTTCAATTACTAATTTAGATCTCTCTAGAAGTCAATATTATGATGTCTATATGACTTTATTAAGAGCAGGACATGTTGCTAATATTACTATTGATTCTCCTTTTAGATATGGAAGTATAACTCCACCCCAATTATCCAAAGTCTTTAAAAAAGGAATGTTTGATAATCTTCCTTTATATAACTCTCAAGTCATTCCAAGAGAAATTTCTATTCATGAATTTAAAACATTAAAACCATTGTACTCTTCTCGACTTTCTTCTTCTGAACTAATTTTAATTGACCAAGGAGCAATAGATACTAAAGGTTCTATAACAAAACTTAAAAGCTCTTCTTCCTTAAAAGAAGAAAACACTAAACGAATTTCTGGGGTTAAAAAGATTGAAGTAAACAAACACGAAAATACACTCAGAGAAGAAAAATCTAAAAGGAAGTTATTTAGTAAAGAGTCTAGAATTGATAAAGAACGAAGAAATGAAATGCATCGTCACATATCTCAATCCAATAATAATTCTGATAATCTTATAACAATTCCTGTTCCTTTAAAAAAAGTATCTCTACCAACAGAATTAAGTTGTGATAGTTTAAATACAACTCTAGATGTCCCACGGTCTTCAGATATAATGAACTCTCAACAACCAAGTAAATTATCAAGTGGAAATACTATTTTTCTACCAAAACTCTCACCAACAAATTCTCCTCAAGGTCATGACAATCTGAAGAAAAGAAGATTTTCATGGTCAGATGGTCATTCATTTAGTTTTCCTTTCTTTAAGAAAAAGAAGAAATGCAGTTCTAAGTCAAGTGAAGAATGTGATAAGTCTGATAAAACTGGAAAGGAAAAAGAAGATCAAATAGTTGATAAGAAATAAGTCATTTCATAGTCGATAATGTTCATAAATACTTTTGTTACATTGTCTCAATCTTCGTTTTCTTTTTTTGTTTCTTATTAAGAAAGAAATGTTTTAACAAACTAAAATATAATAACTGTTTATTTGTATTTTGATTCAACTGATGGAACAAGTAAATGAATAACACACATCATTGGGGTAACTTCTTTCTTATCTAATAAATTGAATTCAGTAGCAAATAAAATAAAGTGCTAATGAAAGAGTTAATATTAAAATTAATTACAATGAATAACAAATTGAAAGAACAAACTTTAAAAGATGAATTTAAATGAGGTTCTTCTTCTAATTGAGTAATTTGATTTAAATGATGAAGATAAATATGTGCATATACTCTGAATAATCGTTTGAATATCATTTGAACTACTTTTTGGAATTTCTTTGGGAAAGGAACACCAACAGTACATGGAAATACAGCTTCATCATCAAGTTGTTGTTGAACATAATCAAGACATTTATTAATATATTCATTTGCTGGTAATGAAAACAACTCTTTTCCTTCTTTCCATCGATATTCAAATTGTGGACCAGCAGTCATTACTGGACATGATTCTTTTGTACAACTTTCAGCAATTGAATCATATAATAACTGTGACTCTTTAAAAAAGTCAAGACAATGGACAGCAAGCCATTCGTTCAAATCTTCTCCAGGTGGAAGAAGAACTGCTTGTTCTATTTGTCCAATTCCAAGTGTTTTTTGTACATGTTCTTCTAACATAATTTGTTTTTGGGTTTGGGGTTTTTTAATATGTCTAATAGTTTTACCACTTTTGAACATTGTCTGAAATACAAGAATTAAGTTCTTTCTTTTTTTCTGTCCTTTTTTTTGTTTTTTTATTATTAATTTTTGTTAAATTGATTGCTGATAATTGTTGGTCATACAAATAATAAAAAAATAAACCAAAAGAAGAATCAAAGAACATGAATTATTTCTTTTGCTTTTTGTTGATATGATAAATATTCTTCTGAATTAATAAAAGAATAGTAATTTAAAATTTCATTAGCAACTGCTTCAACGTGATGAAGATTAATTGAAATTGAACATAATAATGTTCTAATATCACAATTTTGTAAAATTCCAGCAACTACAACACAACCTAATGTTATTTCAGTTGGTTGATAAGTGATAATAGCATTAGTAAGATATGCATCATTTAATATAGATTGTACAGTTTCACAAACAAACTCAGGTAATTGAGATGAATTACAAATATCTTCATAATCTTTTTCTGGATGCCATACAATAAGTGTTTTTTTTAATGCCTCAATTAAAATTCTTTCTGTATCAGTTAATTGTTGAATTTTAAATGGAAATTCAATAATTTGTTTTGAATATTCAATAATACTATGTGGTGATATTAAACATCCTTCAACTTTCGATGAAAAAAATACACAAGTTGCTGCTATTAGTCTTGGATCAATTTCAGTGATTAATCTTTGTGCATAAAATCTACGATAATAAATAATTGAACTTGAATGAATTCTAATTGCAGTTTTTATCATATTTCTACGAGTTAAACTACATAGTTTTCGAATATATTTTCCAATTTCAATATGGCAAGCCCATTGTAAATTCCAATCAATTTGTTTTTGGAATTGTTGTAATTTTAAGATATCAATTAATCCATATTTACAATGAGTAGATTCATCAAATGAAGAATGTAATGTTGATAATTTCATCATTATTAACTGTTTTTTTTTTTTTAATTTCATTTAAATTTTTTTTCTTAAAAAAAAAAAGAATTAAATGAATATAAAAAAAAAACATAGAAAATTGAAATACTAATATCAATCAAATAAATTTGTAATATTTCAATTATTACTAATCTTCTTCTTCTTCAAGTAAAAAGTTAATTAACTCTCTTTTTTTAGTTAATGTATTTTCATTTGATAATTTCTTTACCATATCTTTTAAAATTTGAGTATTTGTTCTATTTAATAAATTAGCAAATCCTGTTAAAATAGCTTCATTCATTAATGCTTTAACTGTACTAGTATTAGCATTAGAAACTAATGCAAACATATCTTTCTTAATATACTCTGGAACTTTTTTAAAAAACTTTTCTGCACCATTCTTTTTAATAAAATTAGTAATATGTTTATTTAAACCAACTCTTGTTTTTACAATATTCTCTTTTTTATCTTTAATACAATTAAATATTTCTTGAAGTGAATTTACTGTGAGATCATCAAGAACAATAATTGTTCCAGTTATACTACAATAATCAATCTACATTATTATTTTTCCATTTCTTCTTTTTTAACAATATCTTCTTTATTATTTTTATTTTTTGTTATTATGAATAGATTCTATTTTAAACTCATTTTCCTTTTTTATGAAGATTTAACAAACTATACTTTTGATTATATCTTCTTTTTTTATACTCCAACTC